TGAAAACTCGAAGTTGAAATCCTTAAGCAATTAAATAACCCGATCGCTGCTCTATACGCAATAAGATCAACCAACATTAAATACTACAATAGCAAATGTTTCATTCCTTACCTCATGCCACCGCGGATCAATAGAACAACTGGCTGAAAAGCAATTTGATGGACTGTACAACATAAACATAAATAATTTAGGGGAAATTTAAAAGACTACTAGATACAGCGCTCCAGAGCACTATTGACAACACATTATTATTGTAAAGACGGCTAATAAAGTACCGGATTTCAGTCGAATTACATTAAGTCATACTCCTCAAAATCTGTATAGCGAACTATGTTAAACTTCCTGTCGTCAGATCGTCGTTTCGCAAAAATTCTACCGTCAATTGTCCACGCAGAAGACACGTTCGTACACCCAGTACGAGCAGTGTAAAAAAGCTGCTGATTTTGTCTTGTGAGATCTTCATTGATGGAAAAAGGCGTGTTCCTTAATTTATTCTTTGCTTGCAGTACGTTTAGTTTATATTTGTGCGACTTGAACCTGACAATAATGGCTCTTGATTTACCATCTGACCTAGGTTTTCCCACCCGATGAATTCTATCGATTTGTTCCTCAGAAAAATCTGGTAGCATTAAGGTTTCACGACAGAGTTGGCCAACCTTCAAAGAACAATTCTCATCTGATTCTTCGGGAAAACCAGATACTCTAATGTTATAGCGCCGCGAGTACTGTTCGTTATCGTTAGCTTTAGTGGCAAGTCTAGCCACTTTCTCTTCAAGATTGACAATCACATTTTGCAAAACAACAACCTTCTCATTTAGCAATTGCTTCGCTTCAATGAGTTCGTCCTCAACTCGAACAATGGTGTCTTTCAAACCTGAAACTTCGACTTGTAAAGGTTGAACATGCTGATCTATGCATGCCTTCAGCGTTTCAGCCACAGCACTTTGAACAATCTTCCTGAATTCTTCAGATTTTAGAAAAGAGCTGACTTCTTCCCTGACGCCAACAGCGACTTCTTGCTCGAATTCTCTCGATTTCGATCGCGTCACCATTTTAGCTTGCAGCTGATAATCAAGTAATTTATAGCACAACTTTCCGCTTTTCCTATTTTGAAATAGGCCCCAAAACGCAGAAAAGCTTTTAGCAGTAAGAAAACATTTGGTAAATAAACAGAAATATGAATATCATAAAATTATTTTCGGAGTTACTGTTCATACGTCCTACTGTTCATACGTCCTGCTTTGGCTTTCTGCGGCTTGGAGAGTTAACTTGTAACTCAAAATTCAATTCAGATTCGCACCTCATGCCTGAAGACGTTGTTTTTTCCAACGACCTACAACCAACCACTGCTATGTCCATACGGATAAAAGAATCCAAAACTGACCCCTTTCGGGTGGGACATACCATAAGTATTGGAGGAACACACACACCTCTCTGCCCAGTATTGGCCATGAAACAGTATTTAGCCAGAAGGCAGCCAAAATCAGGGCCTCTGTTTGTAAATTCTGCGGGTAAATCACTTACAAAACAGGCCCTAACACTTGAAACAAGAAAGTTGCTCAGTCAAGCCGGATTCAACGCTTCAAACTTTGCCGGTCATAGCTACAGAATCGGTGCTGCAACTACGGCAGCCACAGCGAAGTTACCTTCCTGGCTCATAAGAACTTTGGGTCGGTGGTCCTCAGACTGTTATGAACGATATATACAACTTCCTTCGTCAACACTGTTGAATGTCTCAGCCACACTCGCCAATATTTAAAATTTATCTCAAAAAATTTCAGGGGGAGGGAGTTCGTCTATGGGGAATGTGCATGCTGCTCATTTGTGGGGATGGAGTGCTCCCATAGGTCACCCTCATCCCATAGACTCACAAATCGATGCAGCATACATTAAAAATGTTAGATTGAAGTATATCATGCCCAACATGGGGCCCCAGACCCCCTGAGAGCATTAATTGCATTAGAGTCTAACATGGGGACCCAAACCCCCTGAGGACCGCCCAACATGGGGACCCAAACCCCCTGAGGGCAGTAATTACACTAGAGTCCAACATGGGGACCCAAACCCCCTGAGGATTGCCCAACATGGGGACCAAAACCCCCTGAGGGTATTAATTACACTGGAGTCCAACATGGGGACCCAGACCCCCTGAGGACAGCCCAATATGGGGACCCAGACCCCCGAGGGCATTAATTAGAGTAACTGAGTCTGTGGGGTGACACTTCGACCAGTTGAAAGTATATATTCGGAACATTTCTCCCCAACAACCCTTCTCCCACAACATTGTGTGTGCTTTACTGTCTCATATATAGCGCTCTTAAATATTAACTAACCGAATTGAGGCATTAACTAGTTCACTAAATTGCCTGCAGCTTTAATATGAGCAAATTAAACTAGAATGCCTTTAATTAAAGACCTTTAAAATTGTATTTAACCAAGCACAAAACTATGCAAATTTTAAACAGTTTTAACAAAGTTAAAAGAGGTAAATTTAATATATTTAAAATTAACTAGCTAGAACCTACTTGTTTATTTTGATAGGAAATGAACCGACCACAACGAAGGAAGTAGAAATTATTGTATGAAAATTAACTAGCTAGAACCTACTTGTTTATTTTGATAGGAAATGAACCGACCACGACGAAGGAAGTAGAAATTATTATAAACGGCAGATAACGGCGGTGAAATGATTTCTATTTATGCTTTTCGCAACGTAACAGAGCTTGGGCAGAAAAAAGGTTTATGTTGGTTTTCTTTCGCGCCAAAACATTTTCAAGGCTTTTTTAAAAGACTGCTTTTGGTGCATGGCATGCATGCTTATCGAACGAACGAAAGACATTATGGAACGAATTTGAGAGTTTCAAGAAGCGATAAAATCGCGAGATAACGCTCGATCGTTGAGAAAATCGAGATATAAATCGAGCAACAACTCACACGTGTTTGTAGTGGAAAATGGCGAGGAGTCCGATGTCTACCAAGCGTACTCACCTTAAAATCATAGAGAAGAACCTTCCTCTCCGAGCGTATTTGCGAGGCCATTCTTCGCTCGCCTGTTCAATATCAATTCGCTCGTCCGTTTTTGCTTCGATTTCGATATATTTCGTCCACAATATACTTCCGATGTATTACAAACACATTACTTTTATTTAAACTATAGTACTCTGGAAAAAATGTACTTTAATATAAAGCAATTTCTCTCGCATGCAAAATGGTCGCTTTGCGGCGGCCATTTCGCGTGCAAGTGAAGTCTACTGCATCTCCCATGATGCTCAGCTATACCGGCTGGGAGGCCCGGATGAGAAAAACTGTGCTCGAGGTCTTGAAAACAGACCGAGCCCGAATGCCGAGGGACGTTTTTAAGACCCAGGGAACAGCTTTTCTCATCCGGACCGAGATGTGCATGCGAACTTATTTGAGATCAGTATGGTTGTGTGTTAAGGCGAGGCTGACAAAAATTTAAAAGTGGAAAGATATATTAACACGAAACACACTAAAGATTTTCAGTAAAAATGTACATGCTTTTTTCGTGAATGTGGTAGCAGAAAAACATTGTAATAAAAAATTTAGGTCTGTCATTTTGGCTTTGACAAATTCAGTTGCTTCCGACAATGACAGGTTCATGTTCACTTGCTTTGCCGATCAAAAACACATATAAATGAATATAAATTTGATTTAGTAAACGCTTTTCTACTAAAATATTTTCACTGTTTTTATATTTTTGTATTTTTCTGGTCGTTTCACGATATGCTTGAAAAATGTGTTTTAAAACACAGTTTGACTTTGTTTACAATATTTATAGGGCCTATTAGTGAAAAATGCATGACACAAATGGGTATAGACAATGTATTCGTGACTAATTGTTTTCACTGCTGCAGTACTTTCTTTTAAGTTAAGATTGCATGTATGAGGGGAAAACATTTATTTTACAATATTTGTTTAAGCTGTATTTTTTTCGCTTTTAGTTGGTCGAATACATGAGCATTTAAAACAAAAATATAGCTTTCTCGGCCTAAGTAACTTTCTGACTTTCAGTCGCATTTCTCTCAAAATATTGTCAATTCTGCATGGTGCAAATGTGCTTTGTATGAAGTCTTAAGGGCTTGATGAAATTAGCCTGCGAACAGGCCCTAGGTTACGGGCGGCGTGAAGAATAGAGGGCCTGCACGGAACTATAGGTTTTCTTGGTAGTGGCGTTCGTATAGAAACGCACGCTTCTGATTGGCTTACACTCGTTGACAAAATTACTAAAAATAGCAAATGTCAACAACAGAATTTTGAAGAATTTGAACTTTATTCATTTTAATATTATATATTATAAGACTATTGAACAAATAAAACTATAAATGGAAACCAAAAGCAATAGCAAAGCATCACAGCAAAAAAGTCTATCATAAATTACTTTAATCTATCGCTTAAATTCAATGCTATAACAGTATTCTCGTCTTCGGATTGACATCAGACTATAGTACTACATTTTGAAGTCGTCGTGGCTTCACGGATTATTCTCATTAGTGAGCAAGTCAGCAAGCGAAGGCATACAAAAGATACCCAAATATGTACGAATAATTATATTGTTGATCCTCGCTGGCATGTCATTTAGATAAATATATATCGTACATTAAACGTTGTACTATTTACTGTACTGCTGACAATTTCGTCGTCGATACGGCTTCCACTATTGGCACACTCGTGATTTCGAAGAAATTAACAAATACATGCTCATTTATCATTTATTTAGACCACAGTTAGTAAAATTTTAGACGTATTCGATATTCCAAATCCTAATCTATCTGACCGTATTTTAGTAATAGCTTCAAATATTCAGAACATTGTTCTTTCAGTCGCACATAGTACAAGTATTACTGTACATTCAATGCCAATGGTAGTATTTTATTCGGCTTTATATTTGTATGTGTATTGATATCTATTTAATATTTGAAGAATTCATATAGTTTCCGAGTAATATATTGTGCGGCCCGCTAATGCTTTGTATTATTGTTCATATATACATTATGTATACATTTTAATATTCAGTATTTCTTCGTTGCACAATGTACACGCCTTGCGTCAATTTGACAGTTGACAGTTTATTTATCGCAATCGACGCTGATTGGTTCGCGTTTAGCAGATGCGAAAAGGGGATGATTGAATAAAACACATGGTTCCGTGCAGGCTCACCTTTCTCCCAGTGAGCCTGTTCGCAGGCTAGATGCAATTTATTTTCGTATTCTGACTATCTTTAGGCTACGTTTTCAAACTTTTTGAGCAGACTTTTTGGTTTAAAAATGGTTTCATTCCCTGTTTTTTGGCGCGAAAGTCAGAGCGAGCAGTTGCATTTCACAGCGGGCAGTTGCGTTTCAGAGCGGACCGGATGCAAAATTTGTTTCGGAAATTCTTTTCGAAACTTTTCTTATTAAATTTCTTCCAACACGTGTTGCCATTCGTACTGTATGAGCATACATTCAAGTTATCCATCTTTTTTAAGCACCTGCGAAAGGACCAAACATAAGGGATATTGTGCGGAGTGCAAGAAAACTTGAGGTCTCCTGGAACAAGTTAAGTTTGGATGATTCAAATGGATTCATAACCAAATACGAAGTATGTTATGAACTTGGTTCTGCTGGTCCTAGTTGTAATAGGACCAAAGTGATTACCGGTGTTGACAATACAACAACAGGTATAACCGGATTGACACCTGCAATGCAGTATACAGTTGCTGTTCGAGCTTCTACTAAAGTTGGATATGGGTTTCTCGGAGATCCTATGACTGTCACAACGAATGAAAGTGGTGAGTTATAAATATTAGGTAATGTGTATTCTGATTTAACAAGTAAAAAGAACAAAGTTAGGTTTTAGTGGAAACTTTGGAAGTTGAAATGAGATATTCATACATCTATTCATACATTGAGCAAGAAAACAAACTTCCGGTGGTGTTGACGATTAACTTCCACATTTTTGTTTAATGGACATTTTTGGATTTATATTGCTTCTTATGCTCTTGATGCGTACTCAGTGAACTCTATATATATATATATCTGGAACGATAACATTCAGTCATTTGATTGTGAAAACAATGAAGCCTCGATACCAGTCTTTCACACGGATTGGACGTCAGTCTCAGTCCCTCAAACGTCAGGTTTACGCGGATTGGACGTCAGTTTCATCCCCTCTCTGCAAACCGTTGCACGGCCAGTATAAATTTGAACGCAATCACGAAAAAAAATTAAAAACATGGCCAACTCAATGCAATACATTGTAGGAGCAAACAGTTTTGCTCCTAAAATTTACTGCATTGAGTTCGCTGTCGGAAAAAAGTCGAGGAAAACTTCCCCGTCTGGAGAAAAGAATCACTTTTTCAAATATATTGTGTCGTTCTGGATGCACAAGGAAAGAGATATTCTTGCGAGAAAATTTCATTTCATTTTCACAGGTAGGTAAATTGACTTGCAACTGTGACTTTGCCGTTGCCATTTTTCGCGATTGTTTGAATTGTTTTTTAGTTTACCAGTTTTATAGTTTTTAGTCAATACACTGGTACGTTATTTTAATTTTAAAGAATTTATTGTGTGATCGGAATTTGCCTGCCAGCAAAATGTAAATGATATGTACGTGTGTTTGAATATAAATTAGACCATGGGCTTAGTAAAAAATTATTTTAATAACTACGTTTCGGAGTATAACTCCATCTTCAGGTTTATAAAAGTGAATAAAGATATAAAAACTGTGATAAAAACTTTCAAAACAATTACAAATTTTATATGTAAGTGATATTTAATACTGTAAGAATTAAGAAAGTTCTTGAACAGTTGATGACGAAGACAATGACGAATACTTATGTCGTGATTTTTCTGTCGGCTTCACTTTTCGCTCGCTGTTATCGTTCCAGATATATATATATAGAGTTCACTGTGCGTACTATGCATGTTTCGTGACTTAAGCCCCGTTTACACTACGCTCAATTTTTGGTACGGTACGGATAAAATTAGTACCCGTACCACTTTTTTGGTTCTTGGACTACCTATTTAGGCAGTCCAAGAACCAAAAAAGTGGTACGGTACCAAAAATCGAGCGTAGTGTAAACGGGGCTTAATTTTGCTAGGTTTTTGAAACCAAAAAAGTGGTACGGATACCAATTTTATCCGTGCCGTACCAAAAATCGAGCGTAGTGTAAACGGGGCTTTAGACGCCCAGGGAAAATTTACTATTTGGGGCCGCGTAGTGATTTTCCATCGTCAAAGATTTTGAAATTATGTGCTTTTTAAAAGATTGGTTTCCATATTCTTGAACTTTTAGCCCTAAGGACAAATAGGAAGATTTTTCCTTCGGTTTTGAATGTTACGTTTATCTAACATTTTGAATGCAAACTCTGCGTGCTTAAATAGTACAGGATGGTCCACGGGCATTCTCGCCTGGGAAAATTTTGAAATCTATAATCCCTGGAATAGCAATTGCTGCATTCTCGGAGAATATTTAACTGTATAGTTGCTATGCATAGTTTACTTTATCCTAATATTTTGTGTGCGTGATTAACAAGAAACTGTAAGAAGTGTGCCCAAATTTAGTGTTTTGACTTCGATTTAATTAAAGAATAATACTACACTTAATTGAACTGATAATTTTATTAGCGATACGATCTGTGGGAAAAGCTTATAGCTGGGAAAAATATCATACCAACTGTTTATACGACCTTCCAATGCATTGGGCGTTAATTTCCGTCGTCTTGTCTTTACTTTTCTCACAGGCCAAATGAAGTTCTCACTCTAGGATATATATGAAACTCACTGGTGTACAGGAGGTATATTTGTTTTCATCTTGATCTGATATTTGTTTTCTCTGTAGTACCTGGCGCTCTTAAGATAGAGGGATCGGTAACTGCTGATTTATCAAGCATATCCCTGAAATGGTCCGCACCCACCCCGGCTAACGGTAAACTAAAGGACTACGAAGTGTGCTCACGTTCGGGAGGTGGTTCTCCTATGTGCATAAACATTGCCGACAGGCAATACCGAATACCTAATCTTAATCCAGGAACCATGTATAACATATCAGTTTCGGCTTCTACGATGATTGGCAAGGGTCCTATTGTCTCGGTGCTAAAGAAAACTGATGAAAGTGGTAAGTGATATTCCATTAAACAGAGCTATAGCCGTTTGCGTTTCAAGCGCGTTATTGCGCGCGTGCACATCGGCACTCGACTTGACTTATGAAGACACGCATTTTACCACGTGCCTCCTTTGTTTCAAAGTGATCTGATAATATGAAATCGTACAGCGCACCTGGTATACTTGCCACTTAGCGTCTTTTTCTGGGACTTCAGACTCTGAACTTTTCGACTAACTATATAAGACAACAAAACATTGTTAAAATGACTATGTTCCAAATACAATTTTACTCGGTTTTGGAACTTTTGTTCATGGTTTTTCGACGTTTATATATGACCCGGCTTGAAATTGATCAATAAGTGGATTTTTAAAACATCACTCCGCGTAGAAACTTGGATAGCTTGAGATGCTCAAATGCTGCAGAGACAGCTTTTTTAAATAAAAAAGTCTATCAAGATTTCTAGTAGGTCTCTAGCCCAAAATGTTTAAATTATTGTAAAATATTTTAAGTAGCTCTTTTTTATGCACATGGGAAAACAATGAATTAAAAAAAAACAGTATATATAGTGGATGGATTAAATATATCCTTCCATTCTTTCAAGAATTGGAGCTTTACATTCATGGGAATCAAATATGTAAGAACAGTCTAAGTATATAAGAACGATGTTATAAGCATATCAAATAGCACGTTTCTGCAGTTTTTGTGTACTTTCACTGCGCATATCCAATAATAGACCTTTAATTTATAAAAAGGTTGACGTCAGCAGGCTTGTGACGTATTTTGCGGTGAGAGTCCTGAAAGCTCAGAGTTGTTTACTTGTTTTGGGTTTTTTAAAGGCCAAAAGAAGCCAGTATTATGGTAAGCTTGAAGTAATTTTTCTATATATAGGCCAAATAAGTTTTCATATTCGTCGTAGTTTAAAATTTATTTGTTTTTGGCGTCTACTGGAACAGTAGTCCCATATGCATATCGACAAGAGGTTTAGTTATAATACAGGGTGTCTAAAAAAAACAGGCTGGACATCGTGCATCATAAACGTGGCTACACAATTAAATTTTTACATACGACGAAAGAACTTACAGTTATTTAGCTTTTCAATGATACTCTTTTTAAATCGTGCATATGACGAATATTTATATATAAAATCGTTTTTAATTAAATATTTAATTATAGTTATTAGATCATATAAATTTTGTAAGATGTGTTAATATATTTATATTTTATGAAAGATGCCTCATGTCATAATCTCAGCTGCATGAATAGGAAAGTCAGGTCATTTTTACTTAAAACAAGAATTTTCTTATGCTTAAGAATTTTCTTATTCTCACTAAAAGAATATTTTTGCTTGTTTTAAGTAAATAGTTCTTGAAAAAATTCTTGTCTAGACAAAAATTCTTACTCTACCGACAAGTATAATTTTACTTGTTTTGAGCAAATTTTTGCTTAAAGCAAATAATTTTTTGCTTGAAAGAAGAATTTACACGTATAAAAATTCTTGTTTTAAGCAATTTTTTTCTTAATAAGAATTCTAGGTAAGAATAATATTGTTAATATTCCTTCGTCTTCGTGAGACAATAGAGAGCTTACGCAAGGACGAATTTTGAAGGACGACGTCGACTTTTCGACAGGATGTGACGTAATATTTGAAGTGAGCATGCGTCGTGGCAGGCCTGAAGGCGTCCTTCGGAAGTCGACACCGTCAAAAGGTTATTTTCGAAGGCGTCGCTAAAACGTTTCTTATTCGAAGGTTATATCGAAGGAAAATTTAATTGGGGAAAAGTCAACACGAAAGAAGTAAGTATAATTTTACAGTATTTACTATTGTGGTTATTTGCTATACTTTTTCCACTGGTGTGTCATCGAAATATCCGTACAGTGCTTGCCTGTTGTTTTGTGCCTTTTGTGTAAACACAAATTAATACATGCACACATTACTATGTATAAAACAAAACACAGGGTGAAAGGGACTGATTAAACCCTTTTCCTCCCTGATTTGAATGTACTTTTCCCAACTATTCAAGTGCAGTTTGAACAGAAAATGGGATTGTATCCTCTTGTTCTTTATAATTATTAGTTTTCGTATCTTTTTAATATGATTTATATAAGCTGCCTTCCGATAGTTGGGTGGTATATGAAGTCAAAGTTGGTAATTTCAAAGCACCGATAGTTATTTATAGACTGATTAGAGCCTACAATCAACGAATTTTCTATTGTGTAATATGTATTAACCTCTACAGTGCAACCTACCTATTGCAAGTATTTTGAAATCAATACATACTAGAAATCTAGAATAGCATGATTGTCATGTTTGTTGATTTACCAACTCTTTTTAAATATTATCTAGTTCTAAGATATTTGACACATACATACATTTACAACACGTGTATGTATTAACCCATGATTTATAAACTTGCAGTAGCCTTATCTTCCATTGATAAAAATCGTCTGGTGTTTGGGCTTTGCAAAATTAATGGATTACTGTCGTTCCAATTGAAGTGTTGCTCAAATATTGATTCAATACATTACCTCGGGCTGACCAATTTATTTCATCAAGTTCCTCGAGATATTCATACACTTCCTAGTATAATTGTAAACTTCCTGTTGAATAATTTGAATGCACCAATCACCTTTGTTGTTTGTGCAACTAACCAATCATAAATAGAAAGGAAGTGACCAGAAATTATCTTATACTTGGAATTGGCTCTTTCACAGGAAGTGTATGAATATCTCGAGGAACTTGATCAAATGAATTGGTCAGCCCGAGGTAATGTATTGAATCAATATTTGAGCAACACTTCAATTGGAACGACAGTAATAGTAGCCTTGTATTGGTACAATACACAGTATCATGATTAATTTTGGTGTTTGTATGACTGGTTGGGATTCTTACATATTTGTTCCCCTATTTATATCATTAGTGTGCCCATGAGATGGACAGAGGAGCACGACATTGTGTTATGCCGGTAGTCAGCAGAAATAGGAAGTGCATGGACAACCATTGCAAATGAGCTTAATGCAGTTCAAGAAATACGCTTCTGTGTTACCCAAAAAGCTGTACGAGACAGAATGAAGCTTTTGGTTGAACGCCATAAAAAGAAAACGAGAGAAGAAGAATCACCCAGTGGTATTTCTCCAGAACAGTCAGATATTTATGAAGCACTCGATACAATAATTGAGTTGATTGATGATGCAGAACAACATTTTGAGAAGGATCCTTACGAAAAACAGCAAAAGATAGAGAATAACCGAAAGCAAGCAGAAGAGCTCAGAGTTAAGGCAATGGAAAGTTATGGAGAGAGTAGAAAAAGACAACTTGAAAGTGGGGAAAGTGAACCTAAGCCAAGGAGGAAACGAGCCACAGGAGGAGAAACATTGGTATATTTACAAGAAAAATCTGAAAAGGAGTTTGAGCTACGAAAGGCTGAACTGGAAATTAAAAAAAAAAAAGAAGTAAAAAACAAAAGGGAAGTGGAGATGACATTGCAGAAATAGCAGCAACAACAGTTCATGGACTTTCAGAAGACTATTATGGAACAGTATCAACAACAGCAAGCAATGAATCAACAATCAGGCACTTCACCATCAGCAAATAATGGCAAGTCAAGCACAACAACAACAACAACAACAACAACAACAACAACAACAACAACAACAACAACAACAACAACAACAACAACAACAACAACAACAACAACAACAACAACAACAACAACAACAACAACAACAACAACAACAACAACAACAACAAAATCAACAACAAAATCAACTTTTATTAGTTCTTCTTGAAAAACTTGCAAAAAGTTAATTGAAACTGCAACTTATGTGTGTTCATGCAAGTTTTAATGTTGATATTAATTTGCAAATTGCATGCACTTTTAAAAATGTGATATATTATGTTGTGTTTTTCCTATTTAAAAAACATTAGAACGAAACTTACTAACTTTAAATGTTTTTACCCTTTAATACAGTTTACTTTATATAAAGTCTTCATTAAGTGTTGGAGGTTCTAAATTAAAATAGTTTGAAGTTACAGAGCCATACAGACATGTGCGAGCATTTGTAAGCAATGAGCAAATAACATACATCTTTCCTACTGCACTTATATGAATCTTTGGATTTTTCTTAAAGTCTAAAAACTTAAAGAAGTTTACAATATCCCCAAACACCCATTCCACACTGACCCTTGCTGCACTCATTGCCCTATTGAATGCAAGTTGTTCCTCTGTTAGTCTAACAGCTGCCTTGAATGGTGCTTGAAGATGAGGTCTGAGCATAGCTTGAAAGATTGGCAGGAGATAATAGTGGTTGCTCAAAACGTGTGAGACGATGACCATGCTCTTGATAGATCAGGTCCATAATATGTTTGGTAATGATACTGAACTGTGGTACTGGTCTTCCAAATCTAGGTATTATATCACTCTATCTAATAGGGTATGCAAATCGCTTTAAAAGAATGCAGAGCGCTTCAATTCCATCAACAACAAGCCTGTTATAACACCTTATTTCATCTGGAATACCCAATATTTCTTGTAGATTATATATGTCGCTTTTAAGGAAGCGAAATTCTGCCCCACATTCGCTGTCGTTTAACTTGTCTAAGTCGAAGCGAGCATGAATCCAGTATTGAAAATCAGGATTTCTGGATTGGTTTATGTCATAGAGATAACGAAACTCTTCGTCATTAATATAATTTTGATCATGACAGAGTAGTAAGCAATATCTAACCACTCGTAATTTCGGCATTTTTAGTATGAAGTTTCTTCGAAACTTCACAGTGTTGTGATGACTGGGGGGGGGGGGGATTCAAACTTATCAGTCAGTCATACAGTAAACTTTCCGGGGTGTGTGTACGATTTATGTTTGTAGTGATTGATTGTACTTAGTCAGTGCTTTGAAGGTTATTTAGGCAATTTCAGTTGTTTTATTTAAATATTCTTTTATCCTTTTACCAAGTTCACAAAAATTTCGAGGAATCGTTTTCGTTATTGTAATTTTTTGTAAATTTTATAACATTCGCTGCTCATGTTGTATAAAAGATATTTACCCCGGAACACCCGATTCTTTCTTTACCAGTGCAAATGCGCATGCGCTATCAAGCCGTCAAGGAGCGACAGTGTTATTTTCAAATGTATATATATATATAAAACATTTCAGACATAAATCTTTCAGAATCTACGCGATATATAAATTGATGTTATGCATTATGGGCATTCAATCAAGTACCGATATTATTTTATAGACGGTATATTCATTATACGAAGCTGGAAAGGAGCTAGACGGTGCTTTTCTAGGCATTCAATTAAGTGTCGGTATTATTTTGACAGTATATTCATTATACAGAGCTAGGAAGGAGGTATACAGTTTGTTTTCAAATACTGTATATAAACATTTCAGACATGAATATCTTGGATTCTACGCAATATATAAATTGATGTTTTGTATTTTACCGGCATTCAATTAATTAATATTTTAAGTGCCGATATATATTATTTATATTTATTATACATCGACTGTATAAGGTGCTACACTGAATGTAGCCATCTACTATGTGTCATATGTGGAAAGAGCGAAAACTTGCATCAGTCAGTAGCGTAAACAACTATTAAACAGAAGCGGTCTTTGTATCATTGTATGGCGTTATATTAAATACGAAGAAAATATAACCATCAAAATAACTTGTTGCGACTAAAGCTTGTTGCGAGACTAAGGAAAATCTCTTGACTCGTCAGAGCTCTTTATTCGAACGAGAAAGACGACGAAATAGCCAACGTCAGTGTTTCCACAACGCATCATTCAAATTTCCTTGATTTTGCTTTAGAATTTCCTTGAATTTCCTTGAAATGGGATGCAATTTCCTTGAAATTTCCTTGATTAACCGAAGTATATTTCGGCAACTAGAATTCATCAATACTTATATAAAGTAAGACAGAAACAGAATGATACATTTATTTCGTACAACTCTTAAAAACAAAGCCTTGAAACAACAATTTTGAAAGCTTTAAAATGTAAAGTACTAGAGTTTTAATATTGTTCTCAATAGTCAACAAATTCACATGTCAAACAAATTCACATGTCAAATAAATTCATATAAATTCGCCTGCACGCAGCACGCTACCTGATTTCCGCCTAAAATTCAGGTTGTGTGCAGCCTACTTATAATTAGTTTAATTAATAATTCTAGATTCTACTGACTCGGTCACAGGCTCCGAAAGAGGTTTTTTATATTTGCACGCGGACATATTGGTTATAAGCGAAGGAAAGTAATATAATTTAAAATTAATGAAAGGTTCCTGAAAGAATTAATTCGAATCTTCAAAACATTTCAGTTAACTCAAAAATTCCTTAAATTTCCTTAGAATTTTCAAAAATTCCTTAGATTTCCTTGATTCCTTTTTTTTTCCTTGAAACGTCTTTTTTCAGTCAAAATTTCCTTGAAAAAGGAAATTTCCTTGAAAGTGGAAACACTGGCCAACGTATATCGCTTTACAGTATGAAATGTCCAGTCACGGGCCTTGTTCACATCAATCACATGTCTGGCACAACGCCAATGGTGCAAACTCGTGTTCAATGGCAATGCAGTATTTATAAATGCAATGAGAACTCTACCAGATCTTACAAGAATCTATCTGTATCAATGCTTTAAACTGCTATAAACACTGCTATAACTGTGAAACTATTGACATCTAAAGTGAAATTATTGAATACTTGCGAAAAGCTGAAAATGACTCATCAGACCGTAGATGATCAGACTCATGAAAAGCAACTTGATCTTGGGAATATAATTATAAAGTCAAAGGTCAATGAGACTTGTTGTTGTGAAACATGTCACAATTAGGTTAAAATGCGGAAGCGGATGAGGAACGGAGCGGATCCACGGAACGGATATGGGGATAAAATACGTCCTTTTAATGATGCAACATCGTATAGTGCTTATTATTCATAACATATCTTTAATCCTGTACAGCTACAGGTATTTCAATTAAAGTTGTCACTGAGACAATAGTCAAATGTAATATGTAATATGGGCGCTAAAAGGATCATGGGAATAATCATAGTTTTAAATAAGTTTAGCATATAAGTAGCATCGTGGGGATGCTTTTAGCGACAGCTCCCAAAGCAAATGTAGTTTTAGAATTGGCAAAATTTGGTTGTTGGTGAAACAATTTAAATTTCGAGTAATTTAAATTTCGAGTAATTTAAATGTCGCGTGTAGCATCACAATAAATAAATAAATTGTATCAGTTCCACGAGGCACGACATTTTTTATGTGTTAGCCAGTTGTTTCAAACGTCTCGCTATTCATGTGCTGAACGCATTAAAACAATACTGTCAATAGATGAGATGAAATGCCTTTGGTAACTGTTTATTTCGTAGTGTAAGTCATCAGCTTTTCTAGGTTGTCGGCGACCCTATACAGTTCTTGCAGTGTCTTTTTCAGTTTGAAACTTCACACTATCCTTGGATCCCTAGTGAGAAATATTACGACAAAGAAAATTATACAAAGTAAACACAACTACAGTGTCAAACTGACGACGTCCACGTAACATGCTTAACAATCAATTTAAAAGTCGCGCGATGGACGACGTCGTCATCGATTATGACGTAATCAAGACGTCGTCGTCCAGCGAAGTCGTGCGTGCGTAAGCTCTCTAATAACTCAATAAGAACTCCATTAAACATGGTTCAATTAACCCCTGAACAGAGAACATTCGTAATCAAAACGTTTTACGAAACAAATAGCTTGCAGCCGGCTCGCGTTGCTTTTGGATTGACTAACTTTGCATAAATAATGATTTTCAATTCCCAACGGTGGAGAATGTGATTTCGACCGGCTATTTTTATTTGACGAGTATGTGGCCATTTCTCGTCGTTACGATTCTAAATGGGTATCATAGAAAAGCTAAATAACTGCTCTTTCGTCCTATGTAAAAATTGAATTGTTTAGCTAAGTTAACGATGCACGATAATTACCTGTTGAATTTCCATAGCGTTTTTTTAGACGCCCTGTATAAGGTGGACGGTTCACTTCTCCTGCGAACAGGTTCTCTAGTTAGGTTAAAGCCCGCGCATCTACGAAAGTTTCCGAATTGTTTACGATAAATGGTCTGATCATTCAGACGACAGTACAACACTCTTTAAGGCCCAGTTTAGACGGCGAACAGACCGCGAACTTCGCGTGTTTTATCAGACCTTAAGGTCCAGACACACCGGACGCGATTCGACAACGCGACGCGATTTTTTAGTTTTTGAAAGTTAATAAAACAGCATGCAACGAGAACAGATTTTGAAAGATATGCAGACGAAATAACTCAAAATATTATAGCGCTTCTCAATATTTGGAAAATTTAAACCATAGGATCAAAAAAAAATAAATCGCGTCGTCGAATCGCGTCCGGTGTGTCTGCACCTTAAGATTCGACAAACGGGACGCAATTTTTTAGTTTTTGAAAGTTAATATAACAATCGAAGCGAACTTATTGAAGATAATGGATTAGTCTTCTTTGGGGAAAGACTCGCTGTGCCTTCATCCTTAAGAAAAGGAATGCTACTGCAAATACACAAGTAATATAACGGCCAATGAGAGCAAATTTTGAAAGATATGTAGACCAAATAACTCAAAATATTATAGCGCTTCTAAATATTTGGAAAACTTAAACTAGGAGTAGGATCAAAGTTTGTCGATAGACTAGTTTTTTTTTATCTAGACACGAAAGACGAACTATATCATTATAACTCAAAAGAGCATCCTAAACTAATAAGTATTTCCTTACTTCAATATCCTCTTTTCTATAGTCAACCGTCGTTCTTGTTAAGCCAACTAGTTGGTTAACTTTTCACCGTACCCGGTTCACCTGAACGTCCCACATTAAGTTGGGACTGATAATAACACCTAGATCGATGCCAGCTGGGTCCCTAGATAGTGTTTAAAGATGTTAGTTGTGCGATGTCATTTTGTAAGTTTGTTATACTGCTAGATTAATGCTAATGTAATTGTGTAATTCAGGGGTCGCTGTAATTATAACTGTGGCGTATTCCCTCGCGCTACATGTTTCATTTTTGGCAGTTGCCGAATTTCATTAAATCATTTAAACGGTGTGTGGTTGTTCGCCTCTCCACCAAGGCTCTGGATATCCTCTTGCAAAGGCAAGGCGTCACAATGATTCTGCACACATCTATACAACTCGCTGTCGTCAAACCGACCTTTGTAGAAGTAGATATACAGCTAAGTAACTATGTAAGTCATTGATGTATACAGAGAAAAGAAACGGAGGCAGTAATGATCCTTGTGGAACTCCTGATGTTGCACCCGTTGAAAATGTCCTGATGCAGTTACCCGTTGAAAATGTCCTGATAAGTAATTATTAAACCAGAGGAGGACAGAACCAGAGACCCAAAATCTGGCAATTTTTGTAACAGTTTAGAGTGGTCCACGGTATCAACTGTTTTAACAATATCCATAAAAACAAAATCAGTTTTTTTGTGTGTGTTTGATGTTATGTACTCAGGTGAATATAATGTTTTTGATGTACCCTGAGTGTATATCCACACCGGGCAGGCTGAAAAGTTAGCCTGACCGCGGTGGGAATCGAACCCGGGACCTTTGGGATACTATAGTCCAATGCTCTGCCAACTGAGCTACGAGGCCAAGACTGTTCGAATCCAAGTTTCCTGGTTCGATTCCCTCCGTAGTCTGGCTAACGTTTCAGCCTGCCTGGTGTGGATATGCACTCAGAGTAACGTCAAAAACATTATATTCACCTGAGTACATAACATCAAACACACACAAAAAATATCATGACCATAGAATACATTGGTATCGAAGGTACTAGATTTAGTTCCGAAGTCCCATACACTCGAACAAACTTTGCCTCGCAGCTCAGTTGCCAGAGCATTGGACAAATATCCCAAAGGTCCCGGGTTCGATTCCCACCGTGGTCAGGTTAACTTTTCAGCCTGCCCGGTGTTGATATACACTCAGAGTAACATAAAAACATTATATTCACCTGAGTACATAACATCAAACACACACAAAAATTATCATGATCATAGAACACATTGGTATCGAAGGTACTAGACTTAGTTCCGAAGTACCATACACTCGAACAGACTTGGCCTCGTAGCTCAGTTGGCAGAGCATTGGGCTATAGTATCCCAAAGATCCCGGGTTCGATTCGCACCGTGTTCAGGCTAACTTTTCAGCCTGCCCGGTGTGGATACACACCCAGAGTAACATCAAAATCAGTCCGCAAACCTTTGCCCATGTTCTTCCCGTTAGTGTGTAAATTTATATAACTGAGTTATGCATGATCTACCGCCGACGAAACGGTGCTGTGCTGAGTGAATGTGAGAGTGAATTTTCGTACTAAATGAACCTTCGGTTTCTCGAAACTGACAAAGAAATCCACAATGTTTAATAACAGGGTGTGGAGGTATTCTTTAATTGATTAAACCTATTTCTAATGAATAAAATTACTAAAAGCGTGTAAATACTGTTTTGATTACAACCAGATTACGGAAGCTGAAATGCAAATTGTTTCATTAATAAAATATTTTCGTTGTTTTTTGGTCATATTTGTTTTGATCTCCTTGCACTATTCACTTTCACTTTGGTGAATAATTGTTATTAGTATTTTTGCACAGGTAAACATAACAAATCCTACAAGGTGATTGGTCAAATTTGATGTATTAATCAGTTATATTCACCTACAGGTGAATATAACAAAATCGAAATTTTCAAAATGGCGGCTAGCAGTTTTGTTGAAGTTAGTGATAAAGAAATAAGCGAAATTAAAATGAATTCAGACCAGAAAAACAAAAAAAAACTTGTTAAACCCTCAAATTGTCTCTCTGTATTTTTCCCGGGTAACCCAAATGCCTGGGTACCCACTACCCTTGAGATCTAGTTATGCTTGTTTATAACAATCCAACCTTTTTCATCCGAACGATTTCTTATTTTCTCTTTGAGTTTATGCGACGGCTATGATGTAAAGCTTTAATAATAATCCACCTTAAGTAAAAAATACAGTGGACTCACAAATTCATAAACATTATAAAACCATCTATATTACAATAAAAATTTGTATTTTTAAAAAGGTTCAGTTGCCAAAGGCACAGACGACGATTATGTCCTTCAGTTCAGAGAATAATGCAACCTACATTCAGCCTAAAATTACAGAACCATCTATTACAGTAGTAATTTAAAGTTTATTATTAAAAAGTTTAATTTCACGAGGCATAAACGATGATTTATGTCTTTCGGTTCTGGAAATAATGCGACCTACATTAGAACCTCTTTCTTTAGTTCTAGTGGAATAGTCATGCTTCTGTGCGATAGGGACAAGGTGGTGACAGGGATGGTTTACGTCCTGAGTAATTGCCTCCATTTCTCGAAGAGTTAGCTTATCTCTTCTCTCACTAAGCGGGGGAAGTGTATCGACCGGTAAACCAATAATACGTAAGCTTCTCCTTTGAATACGCTCAAGGTCGTTCACTAAATAGTGAGGTAGGCCACCCCAAACTGGTGCGGCATATTCAAGCAGTGGACGAATTTTGGTGCAGTAAGTTGCCAATCCTACTTCAGTAGGAAGGTGAGCCTTCCTGCACTGCCTTAGATGACACAGTCTCCTGTTTCCCTTACGAGTAATTTCTTTGATGTGAGAATTCCATTTCATGTTACTTTGACAGCTAACACCAAGTAACTTGAATGAATTAACTCTTTCGATCATAACATCCCCGATATAAAGATTGGGAGGCTGTGGGATAGATTTCCCAAAGCAAATCCACATATCTTTCGTTTTCTTTGCGTTCAACTTCATTCTATTAGCGTTTGACCAGTTCTGAACGGAGTCTAAGACTTTCTGCATGTTGCTACACTCTCCCTTCATGATGCATTCGCTTTGTGTGCAGTCATCGGCATATTTATATGTGCTCACCTCAAGATCTTCAGGAACACTCGTATCTAAGTCGTCAATGTGGATATTAAATAAAGTCGGCGAAAGAGCAGATCCTTGCGGTACTCCAGCTGGGCAACCCTCGATCGATGAAAGTGTTTGATTTATCTTGACCTGCTGAGTTCTACCAGATAAGAAGCTTTTGACCCACAACCAGAAGCTTTTATTAACATTCATCAATGCAAGTTTATTCAACAGGATCCCATGATCAACTAGATCAAAGGCTTTTTTAAAGTCGATAAAGAGGGCATGGATGCCTGCTTTGTCACGGCAGGTATTGTCAGTAGCATTAAACCATGGCTGTGTGATGGATATCAAAGCCGATGTAGTAGAGCGGCCACTAGTAAAACCATGTTGACTGGGACGTACTGTGATGTCATTTTGATTGAGTTGTAGTTGTACTCTCTCTCTAGGATTTTCCCAATATGTGGCAAAACAGAGATTTGTCTAAAATCGTTACCAACGTTAGTTGGTGGGTATGCTTTAGGTACAGGTGTGACCAGGCCATGTTTGTAATGACTTGGATACTTACACTGTTTAATGCTAGCCGTAATGATGTCATGAACAATCGGCGCTAGAACGCTAGAGAATCGTTTAAGTAACCATGCTGGAACACCATCGGCTCCTGTTGCTTTCGAGTGATTAAGGTGATTTAGGACGCTCTTAATCTGGCCAATACTAGGTAGAGGGGGAGGATAGTTTTTGAGAAGTGACTCAACTTCATCTAGTTGGGGAATACTTGTTGTAATTAGGTCTTTCCAAGGTTCAGTAAAGGATATTTGAAATTTTTCTGCTAAAGCGGCCTCGCTACCCATGGAGTTTACTGTTAGGCCTTCATGCTGACTACTTACTCCGGACAGATTATAAATTGCTTTGTACCATTTCGCAGGGTCAGATGTGCGGAATGTTTTAGCTTTATTTTGATAGTAATTTGATTTGGTTTTCCTAATCATATCTTTTACTTGTGCACTTTTATACTGGGACATGTTGCCACGAGTAAAAGCCCGTTTTCTAAGCTTAATCTTTGCGTTAATGTTCGGAGTCATCCAAGGTTTATCCGTGGGATGTAGGCGTATGGATTTCAGAGGCATACATCCGTCTAGAGCTTGACTAATAACTCCATTGAAAATTGAGACTTTGTCATCTACGTCTTCTGCTTCGTATACTGCATCCCAGACAGTTCTGCTTAGTCTTAGCTCGAGAGCTATTAAGTTTGAACGTTTCATCGATCGAAATGTTTTAGTTATTGGGCGTGTACTCGTCCGATGTTTTGGATTCAAAAGGAGGCATTGGTGATCCGATCGACCTAAGGGAGGAAGATGTTGCACTTCTTGAAACAGTGGCGACATATTAGTCATTATCTGATCTAAAGTATTGTTCTGGCGAGTTGGTTTCTTAACAATTTTCCTCAAATCAAAACAATTACATAATGTTCCTAATTTCATTTTGTTAAAGTCTCCAGCGATTATAATTCCAGCAGAGGGATAGCTTTGTAGAATAAAGTCGATTCCATTAATAAGGTAATCAATCATAGTTATCTCATTTATAGCCGCTTGACCTGGGGGATAATAAACTGCAACCATAACAATGCAACTGAAAGGCCTTGGAAGTCTTTGTGGTTTCAACAATAGCCACAGAGCCTCTTTGCCTTCCTCTTCCATGTCAAACAAGCGGCTAGAAGGTATTGCAGTTTTAACATAAGTAATTAAACCGCCGCCAAGTGTTCCTCTATCTTTTCGGTACGGAGTATAGTTAGGTCCAATAGATATAACTCCATCGTATATGCTGGGATCTAGCCAGGTCTCAGAAATACATATAAGGTCAGGATCATTAATTTCCGCAACTGAGCTGAGCTCATCCATTTTATTCAGAATGTGACAAGCATTAGTTAAAAATAATGAAGGAACAGTCTGTTTATTCGTTTTTATATCGGTAGATATCTTGATACAGTTCGTAGGCTCATGGGACCTTCTTCTGTCAGAATAAAGCGTATTAATGTGGGGAGTGGTGCTCGCGGTTTTAGAAAATAGTTGTTGTCGATGAGTAATTCTTGTCGGAATCGGCATTTTTATCGTTTCATAGTGCGATGGACAAGCTTCAGGTGATTGATCCGGTCCTGCATGCTTGTGACAGCGACTGCGTGTTAAACGTGTCCGTTTTTTCCTATTGAGCTTTAAAAAATAATTATCATTCTTATACGATTCCGGGCAGCTGATATTATTTGGCCGCTGAACTGGTTGCAATTTAGGTTTTCCTTCTATGAGAGGCAACCTCTCCATCCAATCTACTGGGAGACATTTATGCTTAGTATTTTTTGACATAGGTTGTATTGGGGTCTTGATGGCATTCGCCGTCATTCTAGCATCTGTTGTCTTCATGGTAGATGTTTGTGAAATATTTTGCTTGGCAGACTTGAGAGTACAAGATGCCTTGTGCTTTCCCTCTAAGATTTATTGATTGATTATGATTGATTGATTGATTGATTGATTGATTGATTGATTGATTGATTGATTGACAAGTACGAATAAGATCATTTAATTAATTAAACTTCATATTTTGTCGTAAATATAAGTACGGTATTTGTAAAAATTAATCACGCGAATTGAACATGTAATATTAGCTTAGTCCCCAAGCCTCTTACTACGCCTATTTCGCGTTTCCGCATATAAATGAGATGACGGCTCCTGAGAGGAGTAGTCCGCTACTGGGTTTTGTTACTATTAATAAAGTCTTACTCTGGTCTATATGTTGAAAACAAAATATACTATTAATAAACTAGTAACATCAGAATGGCTACCAGTCAATGAGCTTTTCAAACTACCTAATTAAATATTTCACATCACCATGTTACACCAGACCAATGCGGTCTAACAAGCCTTGATGATAGGCTACATGGATTAACAATAGAAGGCGTACATGTTGCGTGATTAATGCATAAATACAAAGAAATTTTAAATAAAACTTCACTAACACGAGAATCAACAAATGCTTACAATGTAGACATTGAATATTAACATATTTTAGCTTCTTGACGCGAGAATAAGTGCATGAGTCAATCATCCCCCCTCCCCCCGGGAGAATCCCCGGCATTTGACCAGAGGTTAATCCTGCATTGGCGGGAATTTGACGCGAAAACGTTGCCGCACCGTCGGGCATTTGACCCTTTCATTTGACTGATCACTGGCGCAAAATTGGCCAGCGGACGTGCTTGGTGTAGATGAACGTTGATGAACGTGATTTTATTTCGCGTGTATAAAAACATACTGCACGGCGTGAATAGCTTTTATATAAAATGCCGTTATATAAAATTTGGAACTCGACCAGGGACGTCAAAAAGGATGTAATTGCTTGTTCTTTTGCAGAATCTGTCTCAAAAGTTATGTGTCTTTATGATATTTTATAGATAAAAAGAAATTGAACTTACAATAGCGAGCATAAAAAAGAAACGGCATTTCAAAACTATATAAATTGCAGAACTATAAGTTTTGAGCCGATTATAAAATTAAATAAACATTTAAAGTATAGCTGGTTCTCTTCATGTAAAATTATATGGGAAACGTACGAGGCAGAAATGGGCATTTGACTATGTTTTTGCCCGCACCGTTGGGAATTTAACAATGGGTTTCGCCCGCACCGTCGGAAATTTGACCGTATTTTTTTTGAAAAGTCAAATTCCCGAGGGTTCACCCGGGGGGGGGGGATAATCGCAGTTGGAATTGACTCGTACATTAAGCTAATACAGTAATACAGCATAGCGAATATATTAAAATATCATATGTCAGACAATCATTAACAACACCGATGGCTTGGTACTCCGGTTTATAAACCTTTAATATGAACTAAAGATACATCACTATAAAACTATACATTTATCTACCTTATTGCAGTGCAAGCTTTGTCTTTCTCTAGCAGTGGCTCTCTGCGCCAAAATTTCTAGCGAGGCTTCTGCTTGTGTTGTTAACGTTGATGGCGCCGGTCAGTAGCTTGTCAACAAAATTCGTCCGTGAGGCATCATATTCTTTTCAAGCTTCGTATACAAACGTTATATAATGTATAGAGATTCCAAATCGTTTGCCAAAGTCGCAAACAGAACATTGTTGAAAATGTTTCCAGACATGGCTGGTAGAAATCGCTCGTAATAGTAAACGTTCGAAATAGTTAAACACTCAGAGGTAAACACTAATGCCGCGTTGACGAATACCTCACGCTGCGAATCCGTCGAAAATATAAGCCAATGACAATGCAGAATTTTTTAAATGGTTCAATCAGAAGGCTCATACAGAGCCCCTGAATCTGCAAATCCGTCTGGCCTCCCCACAGATCCGTCGCAAATGGCCGTAACCATGGAAATGAGCGTGTCAGCCAATCAGATAGCCGGATTTAACCCCCGAATCCGTCAATTTCCATGCGTAAGACCGCTGTTCGTGACTGACTAACATTACTTTGCCGAAGCTCTGCCGCAGCATGAAACGTATAACTGGACTACCGGTACGATTCAAAATTTTAGTAACTCGATATACTGGCCACTATAGATAGCTCGATTCAATTTTTTTTTAGTAGGCAATTTTTACTTCAGTCGTGCGACTGTTTTGACGACCCCTAGATCCGCCCCTGGACTCTTTGTGTGCTAAAAAGCTACACCATTAGAAAAGCTATAGGAGCTCTTTCGGTTCTAAACAAGCTTTTTAGGGTTCATTATGACCACAAATAGGAGCCAAATTAACTCTTCGAAATGCTAAGATAGCCCACTAATTTTCTGAATTAGCCCCCTACTTTTGCCAAAACAGCTCCTACTAAAAGCTGAAACAGTCCTTACATTGGAAGGGCCAATTGAAATCACCCCTTAATATATTAGGGGTCGCATTGTTATAGGTGCAATTTTGACCCCCCCCAAAAGATCTATTTTGCGGTCACCATTTTGTCCCAATTTCTTTGGGTCGTTTCAGCCCTTTTTAATTTACAGTGCATAGCGCGCATATTACAATAAATATCATGATACAATAATTTATAGTATTGCCTCATTCTTTAAAAACCTTATTCAACGTATGTATAGCCAATATACTCATGTACTGCATGCAAATAATGCATACGTATAGATTATAGTGTATACACCATATATTTAACATATAATACTTTAACGTACATTGCAATAAGCATCTGGAATGAACACAATAAACTCATTGCCTTGGCACATCGCCACACAAACAAATAAGCTGAAAGTATTCATTTTCATTCCTTGTATAAATATTAAAATAAAAACATGGTCAGTCGGTTTATTAAAACTGCTGAGAATTAATCAAATCATATTGTTTCAATACCCCTATATCGACCACTAAACAGAAGATCTAAATATAAATGCCTTCAAGTATATCGCCACTAAAGAATAAAGTTTTCCTTATCTGAATTATTTAAAATACTGTCAATTGTTTGCATCGTGAAAATCCAACATACTACATGTAAACCAGTCACTTTTAATAGTCACTTTGTGGAAAAAGAAGCTGCTTACTGCTTGGAGAACGCAATTAAATTACATCGCTCATGCGGTGTTTTCGAGTTCCGACACAGTTATTTGCTCCTACTCGGATTATTTTCGTAAAATTCCTGTGTATGCCATTTTATAACTGCTACGTCATTTTACGTCACAAATTTATCAACATCACGACAAAAAATCTCAATACTTAATGCAATGCTTTGTTGGCCAGCAAAAGCAAACGTTTTTTCGCTAACGTCGGCGCCTTTGCTCTCTTGGGTACTTTACACTTTACTGTAACGCGTATGACGTGTGGCGTATGTTCTGGCGGTTTTTCTGTTCTTTTATTGGCGTGGTTTGATGGCGTATGTATTCAGTGATCAATTCTTTCGCCTTTATTTTATCAAAAAGCTTTTAAAATTTACAAAATCTTGCAAAAATGAAATATATTTGCAAGAAGTCATCAAATCAAGAAATGTTTGTTATTTCGCTGTTGTCATGCAGTCTTGTCATACAAATTTCAAAGTGGACCAATCAGTGTTGGCAATTCGTGACAGTCCGCTTATTATGAGATCAGTGAGGATGACCACCCAACGGAACACCGACAGTGACCCACGCCCGCAATCATTGATAAACTTTAGACTTCGCTAATGCTTTCCTTTCCCAAATGGCACGAAAGCCATTGCATTACAAACTGCAGTGGCGATCATACAAACATCATCATCGTTCTCTTTGGAACACTGGCTAACAGTCTCGTCATAATGCCGTACGATCGTAACCCTCCTCTACGAACAATTCAGAACACGATCTTCTTTGTTCTTGACATCGCAAATATTAGCGTAACTGCTTTTATTGAACCGACCCATGTGGCTGCTCGGGAAATAACAAGGAGTTAATAATGTGTCGTGAGTCAAATCCAGGAGTGAAAATCCATGAGTAACAACATCAAGAACCCAAACTTATTTGTTTCGAACAACCAATACGCGATTGTTACAATGAGTTAAATACTACATTATGTATACACTGCAAACAAATAAAGATTAACCTAAAATTAAAATCCTTTAAAGTTATTAAAGCTCTTTCTTATTTCGAGAATTAAATTTTTGCGGCATATAAAATGATTTTATTTGGAAAATTATATAACTAATATTTGTAGTTAGCAATTGAACCAAATATCTAAATAGTAGAAAATTTATTCCCGCAGATCAACGCGCTTCTGCGCGTACGGAAAATCCCGTGGCGAGGGTACTATTTTCTCTCGGTTATTTACACCCGGGGAAAGGAAAGCTTTAGCGAAGTCTAAAGCTGATCAATAATCGCGTGCGCATGGTTATGCATGGTTGTCATCTCATTGATCTCAAAAATATAGCTGTTTAGTGTTTGCTATGAATGATAAAAGGAAGCTTGAATATTTTTTCAAACAATAAGTTGTATATCACCTTTTTCAAATTTAAAGAAAGTGTGAGAAATCCTGAAGTACAAGGTAGATTAATTTTTAATGTTTATGTATGGCTTTGCTGCTTAGTTTTCGGATTTTCTGCTGAAGACCTTGAACGTGTACAGCTTTTCTTTTTATTTTATGTGAAAGTTTCTTTGAATTAACTTGTTTTAATTTTTTATAAAAGAAAAAAAGACAATTATTTTCAAGAGCGATCTGTAGGATTTAAATTTATTTAATTTAAATATGAGTAATAAGTTGCAGAATTTTTAATATCGGAAAAAAACAGTTAATTTCAATGGACATTTAAAAACGTTTCACGAAGCGCCCATAGATAGCAAAATAACATACCTACTTTATATATGTTAAAAATCGCTAGTTCTGTGGTTAAAAGTATAAAACATTTATAATTTATTTTTGCCTTTTGAACAAAAAATTAAGAAAGCAATATCTTGTCACCATGACTAACA